AAAAATAAAATTGGATGTCATTATTAAAATTCTCCATAGGGTGAACAAACCAGCAACTGAGTCCTGCATAAGAAGAGCCTAAGCTGACACTAACACACCTACTAGATTTTTTACGAAAGAAAACTCTTAAATTTGGTCTACCAACTGGGCATTGATAAATCGGACAGCAATCCTCACAAATGCTATCTCAAGTTCCCTTAAAATATTACAGATAATAGGTTATGTTTCTATAGTGAGTTATGTTTATAAGGCCTGTTTAAAAACAATCTCTTTGGTAAACTGATGAATATATTTCCTCTTTTTTCCTTTCCACCAATAGAAAATTTTAATTTAATATATCCTATCTTTATGCATACAATATTCCAAATACCAGCTTTCCACTGTCGTTTAAAACTGGTTCCCCAAGTGCTACACAAACTGGCCCAGAACATCATCAAATTCAGAGGTCTAAATCTACAAGCATAACTTGATTTTTTTAGAGAATACTCAAACTTTGATGCTGGATCCTGGAGGCAATAAATTTAGCCAGGGTTGCATACGGAACCAAGAGGTAGGTCTTTTGGAAGGCAATGTATGAGGAAGCCTCCTTTCCTTGCCATCTTACCACTCCTGTTCTGACTCAACACTGTGGTCAGTGTGTCAGCCCACCACATGGGACTGGTGTCATGACACATGTCCCATCAGAGCCCCTAAGGGCAAACCCAAGGGCCAATGGCTCTTGCAGTAACCTCCCCAGCACCTCTCAGGCACCCTGCCTCTGCTTTGAAGCTGCACCAGCCACAACACATACTCCTGAGGGAAATGTGGTGGAGTCTGTAACAATCTGCGACACTTTATTAATCCCCCACATAGCCTTCCTCTGCAAAACCATCGCAGAACAGGCAGGATCCCGGCCTGCTCTTTTTATTGGTATCATCACACTTCTATAGCAGCAATACAGTGCTTACCCAGAAGAACAGGTCCTGCCTCCAAAGTAATTCCCCTAATAGCAATAAGCACAAGGTCATGACCAGAGTCAGAGCTATGCTCATCCTCACAGTGATGAACAAAGGGATAAAGCAGCACAGTTACAGAATTTGTGCACTCGCTCTTACGCCCTCTCATGTTGCTTCACCGGGTCATTCAAAATGGCTCACCCACATTTCCGTCTTCCTCTCCATCCCCTCTCCCACCTCCCCCACTTCTCTTCTCCTTAGCCCACTGTCTGAACTCCTGTTCCAACACTGCTGTCCGCATCAAGACCAGAAATGTGGGGCAACACAAACCCACTCATAGCAACCTCAGAGTCTGGGATAATTCCAGCCCATCTCACACATTGCAACAATCAATGCCGCACACATCTGAGTGTCTGAGGCCACTTTTTCTCTTGTCCAAAGCCATGGTCATTGACTGGTCAAGACAAATCTTATACCCTGAAGTATGAAACCTTAGCAGGGCCTTAATTCCCCATTTCTCACACTGAATAAAGCACTTGTTCCTCACCTCTCCGCTATATCTCTGGAGGATGCTGTTTTAGCAGGAGATGCAGAGGGCAGTTGATTTCCCAGAGGTGCTGGTCTGAGCAAGGCTTCCCTCCCATTCCCTAAGTTAGGTAGAGCTTTTCCTTAGGATTGTGTTGTAGCTTTGAAACACAGTATCTGGGTATCCATGATGCACATGATATGAGGGACAGAATCCCTGCAAGAAGGGTCTTGGTGATAAGGTGTAAGATGGGGTAAGTATGTTCTAGCTTTAGCCTCATTCTGCTTTTCCCTTTTGTGAAAGAATTACTCTGCAGCAGCTATAACTACCATGAATGTCACCACAGCCATAACCCAGCTTAATTCTTTCTCCATTTTCACCTCCAGTGTGATTTTGAAGCTTGTGAAAATTGCTCTGAGATATAAGAGAAATGTACCTATAAGTAAGTGTTCATTCACTGTTGCTGCCTACAGGAAAAAGGAGAGACTGTTGTAACTGTGACATAAAGTTGACAGTGCATAGAAATTAACCCATGGGGTGTAAATGGCTATGGAGGACCATGGTTGGCTTTGAGCTCTCCACAAAGTCCACAGTTCATCCCTTATCTTGCATCACTGATATATTTGGGCCCTGTGGACCTCTCCAATTTCTCTCCCTCTTACAAGCCAGAAGGTAATCATAATGTAGGTTGGGAGCATGACATTACTGTTTCTCATGCTAAGCAACTGCAAACTGCTCCCAGGAGGATGCCTATTTATTACTGGCTCTGCGCCGTGAAAGACTGACCTAATGAAGCAATACAGAGCAGCTGATGTTGGCAGTTCTTGTGGTATGGACAATTAGAGGTGCATTTATTGGCAAAATATTTGTGCCCCAAAGGCTACCACATACAGGTGCCCTGCCTTGATAATTCTGTGGTGTGGAGTTTTTATTTGGCTGCCCTTTCAAAACCACATGTAAGGTTTGCATTTGAATACATTAAGGTTGCAACTGAGTTCTAATTAAAAAAAAAAATAAATAAATCCCTAAACACCTCAATTGCACCTCTATTTGAATTAGTATGTTTTAACCAATGTCTCCTAATGGTAACATAAAAAGAATATCTACAAGATTTAGTGTACCAAATAGAAAATACTGTGTATGTCAAGCTGAAACATACCACTTTTATAGTTTTTTTACTGCCTTCAGAAATGACTAGCAAACACAGAGGTCTAGAGGAAAACCCAATATCTGAAAAGATTAGTTGTCTCTTTTTTTAAAAAAGTGACATCTTTGGCATGTGAAAAAAAATTTAGCCCATTTTCAATGAAGGTTATGAAAATGTGGTTATAAGCTGCAGACAAAGAGTGAGATGCGTCTGACCAAAATTAAACATTTGATATAAAAAGTTTGATATAAATGTCTATATTTAGACACATATATATTTGATATCCCAAAATATAGAGGTAGCTATCTGACTGAATGAACTGTTTAAATATGGAGATAAAGTGGCAGAGGTATGGTCCAGTCTAGCTCTTCTGTAGTTTTCTAATGTAGATCAGACCAGTCATGTTATAATAGTGCCTAAATATCTCCACCGAATAAAAAGGGAAGCCCAAGTGAGCAGCTCAGACATAAATATCTACTGTGCAGATGTTTAAAGACAGTTGAAATGATTCCATACACTCAGAAACCAAAAAATGTGATGCCTCCTTGTTGTAATACTCAGTGGCAGGTGAAATCATTGGGAGGACTAGAACCCATGGCTGGTATTATACACCTATACCTCCTCTCCCCCCCACATACTGATTACATCATCTGTAACCACGCAGCTAACTCGCTAAACTAAAAATAACAAAATGAAGAAATCAACTCATAACCTCCAAAGTTTCTTACGATTTAAAACCTCCAAATGTTAAGGGCCAAACTGTCCTCCACACTGACAACAGGTAATTAAAAATATGTAATGACTGGCTTACTTCTAAATCTTTATCCCTACAGTGGATGAATAGTGAAAATCAAGCACCCGGGGCTAGGATGCCTGAAGTTTGTAAGCCAAACAGAGCGCTTGGCACGTAGCTGTTAAGTCATGACAATACCACTGAAATAGGGAAAATCCTAAATATCATACATCAACAGCACACTCAGGGCAATCAGGGCTGACTTCTTTCCTAAAATTAAGCACTTCCACATCTTCTGCTGAATCTGAAATTAATGGGGAAATAGACTCGGTATCTCATGATACGTAGTGAATGCTCAAAGGCTATTAGGTAGATGGAAAATTCCTTCTCCTTCAAGTATATTATAAAAATAAGAGTTGGCTTGCAACTGATTTTTGTGAGTTACCTACAGAGGTACCTATCTCAGAAATACATATTACTTCAGAAGTACATAGGTGCACAGAAGACCAATTGCACTAAGCATCATGCAAGACCAATTAGATGGACCCCCAGTGTTCTGGTCTCAAGCAGGGTAGAAGCATGGTCTAGACGCTGAGTTGCTCAGCCCCGTCAAGATTTGGATGGAGGAGTTGCTTTAAAATGATAAAGCGATATAACATGAAAAAAGAAAAGTACTTATGGAGTTTAAATGATGCCAGAATAAATTCAGAAGAGATTTTCAAAATAGAAATTCTGGACTTAAATGCCTGACTTGACCTAAATCTGACTTCAGGTTCCTACACTAAGCAATTCCATGAATTTACACCAGAGAGAAATTCAGCCCTAAGTGACGTGATTTTTGGCATGTAATTTGCACCGTTTCTAGAACAGAAATATTATTGCACTATCATTTTCAAGACCATTCTAAAGCTGTGTCACCACTACATATAACAATATATATTAATCTTTTGAGCAGAGGGTGAATATTTAAGAAACTTGATTCATATTAAGTTAATATTTAGCAATTGGATTATTTATGTATCTTTATGAGGAAATATAAAGCAGGTAATTTGAGGATATACTGTTTTAAAGAGTGAAGTCCATTTAAATAGTAGATTCTGTGCAAGAGTTAATCTCTGCAGATCTGCCTTTAAAAGATACTGATGCAGGAGATGTTAATTTCCAAGTAAAACAATTTATATTCCTAAAGCAGACTACATCTTTTCAAATTCTGGTAGAAACAGTCAGCCAACATGCACATATCATTAAACTTCAAATTCCCCTGTTAATGACAGCCAAAGCATCCAGAAAATTCAATATATTTTCTCTGAGGCTAGTTGATGTAGGAAGATTTTCATGAGACGTTTTCGCTGCTATCATCAGTTCAATGATGTAAACAGTGACTGATTAAGTCTGCACTCCTTTCAGGTTGATATACCTGACTGAAAAAAAAAAATAATCTCACAGCTGGAATTCCTCCTGAAAACTAAAATAGATGACAAAGTAAAAGACCAATCTTCTATAGACACTTAATGAAGACAGGCTTCAAGGGGTTTTCTATACCAGAGACTACTTTACACCCCAGGATGAGACAAAAACAGCAGATTTCTGCAGCTGAAGATTGCAATCACAGCAGAATAAGGAAAATAACAAAAACATATTACTTGTTAAATCACTTACACTGGTTTTCCTTTGGATTCACAAGTCAAAATTATAGATTGTCCTTCTTCAGGCCATGAATTGGAAGAAATGATTTTAACTAAAGGTGTATCTAGGAAGAAAAAAAATAGACATCTTGTTGATATACACAAAAAAGATTTATTATGTAAGAGTACATTTTTCTCTATTTACAAAAGACTGTACCATAGATTTAATTTACACGTGGAGATGCTTTTATATGGAGTCTTGTGCAATTTTCATTGTCTTCAGGAAGGCAATAAAAACGACCAATGGAACTAAACCAGTAAATTTTTATATCCCCAGGAAACACTGATAGAAAGCACGTGTATACTCAGAGGAAATAACTTTTTTTTATTCCGTATTCAATGCAAAAACCCCATACAACTATTCCAAAGCCTGATACCTAACAACGAAATAAAAAATATTGAGGATGAATAACAAGTACTCTGCGCAATTGCTTCTTTGTCTATTTATAGGTTGATATGATGCAATGCTGCTATTAGAGGAATGAATGCAATAATATACATTTGAATAAGAACACTTTTATTGTTGCAGAAGCTTGAAACTCATAATAAGAAAGCCACAATAGGCTTTCAGATAAAATACCTTGTTACAGGCATTTTACAGGATATTATTTCTGAAATGCAATAATGCTTTCCCTAAAACAGAACATTCTTTTTTTTAAACAAAATTTACAAAGCGAATGTTTTAAATATCTGCAAAAAAAGCACTATATAAAAGTTTGCAATCTGTCCCAAAAATTTAAAATACTATTCCTATACATTGGAATTAACTTTATAGTTTTAATTGCAGAAAGATACACAATATAACTACAGTGAATTAATGCAGAATAAAGCATTCACAGTAGATATTTAACTTTTAAAACATTTTGCCAGCTGACTTGCAAGGATATATTCTCATAATCAAAATATTTTACATGAGTTAGAGGGGCACCTCTTATAAGGAAAAAAAAAAAAAGACCACAAAGAAAGAAACATCTCTATATAAAACAGTTTTTTCCTTAGGAAAAGGAAAAAAGAGTTCATATTCATAGTGAGGAAAATTTTCAGACTCAATATGAAAATACAAATTCTTGTTTCCTCCACAGTTTCTTAATACGAAACAGACATCTTAATCTATGGCACAAGAAATACTTTAACCTGCATATCCAGGGTATCTAAGTTTTGTCTCATCCAATTTGCAATTCCTGTTTTCATTAGCAGTGAGGTAGTAGCGACACCACAGGTAGCCTATTATCAAGCAAATGTGAAAGTGCATGACAATATGACCCTACAAAATCAAATGGAAAAAAGTGATATGCTGTAACGATATCATTTCTTGTTGAGATGCTAACGGTCCTGTTAAACACTAAATGGTATGTGAACAATTACAAATGTCGGAAGCATTTTCCTAACTTTGATTTTTATTTTTGGCATATCATGATGTAGGATGGCTCAGGACAAGAAAACGGGAAGGCCTAGGGTCGACTTGTCACAATTCCACTGAAAGCACTGGCAGTATCATTTAGCTTTCGGTACAGCTGTACTAACCTTATGCTAGCAGCAAATCTGTTCCACAAGTTCATATTTTTAAGGACCCTGCAAACCATTATGCAGGTGACTAATCCTTTGGAGGTCATGCTGGCATTTGCTTCATTTTTAGCACATGCTTAAGGCACTGACCTCAAGTGCCTTAATAAATCAGGGCATCAAGTACTTCTGCGATTTCAGTGGTGCTATTGAAGATGAATAAATTACTCTCTTGACTATACATTGAACCAGAGGAACAAATTAGTATCAGATAGGAATACATGAAGAATTTAACTGAGGGAGAGAAACAACTAATGCAATGAGATCAAGAGGTTTCCAGAGAAATATGAAAAGGAACCAAACTTTGATGGAAGCAACCATGATAGCCACAGGTGAAGTAAATTAAAGGCCCATCTAGCTAGCACTACTGGCTTAAATATTTAAGAAATCATGAGTATTTTATGCATTACTGTAAATGACCTACATAAAATAGAAGAGGGGACTTCAGACAATTAAGCTTTCATTTGCATGGATCAATGCAGTGCTGCTTTCTGCCACTTGAAGTTGCCATTCCTACTTTAATGCCCCAGACAGCTCTCTGTTCTCCATGCACTTCTAAATAGAGCTTACTAACACAGAATAAGAAAGGTCTTATATTTATGTTTCTCTCTCTAATGCACAATAATGTAGTGTAGGAAATATATTCCCTCATGTTTTTCCCTACTAATTGACTTGCTCAGTAACTACTTGTTTCTTTAAAATAGGAAACACAAGGATTAATTCAATATATTGTTTTTAGGGAAGCTTACAATTCACAATTTTTGTATTTTATTAACAGTCCTTTTTCAAAAACTAGTTGATATTCTATTTTAGGTGCTTCATTCTCAGTGTCACCGTTTCCACTTTATTTTCATGCTGTGCTTGATTTCTCTCCAGAGTTAAAGTATACATTTATTAGAGGAAAACTTTTAAGACAAACTAGTGCTCCACTTTCACATTCACATCAATGCTTAAAATGAGAAGAAACCTTTAGAATAACTGCATCAAAACTAACCTAAATACATTATTTTAACAAAGATGATAAAACCCTGCTGATTGATAGTTTTCCAGAACACAAAACGCTGTTACAAAATACTACCCCGTGCTAGGACTGTTCCTTTTAGAAGAATTTGACAAGTATAAATGTATCCTCTCAGTACTGTGAGCTTTAACCCGGGACACCCAGAAGTATTAATCATAACAACTGGAACATCACCTAACCTCCAGAAAACACCACCACCACTAGAAAACAAAGTCTAAAGAAATTAAAACATATCAAGAACAGCAATACCGTAAGAGATGTTGATTTATTTTCAGATATGCCCATCAGGTTGGTACAGGTAATGTAGACTTGTCCAAAAAATCTCTATTTTTACAACCAAAATAAACAAAAGCAGTAGGACCAAAGGTTTTATTGTGGGTTAGATCTTCTGTTGCTTCTCCTCTAAAGCCAGTAGAAGTATAACAACGTATATCAATTCAACATAACTTTAATAATTTGCATCTTTTTTAGGATTTGGCGCAGTGATTTCATGGTAATAAAATATTGTACATCAGTATTTCAAGCAGAATTCTTATGAACAAGGGACTGGTGACTAAAATTTCTTTACAATATCTACAAAAACACCCTTATCGTGCGCTCTAAGGACATTATGGAGCAGATAAATATGCCAAAAAGAGTAAGCATTGGTAAAATCCAATTTAAAAAAGCAAACCACAGTGGTTTATGTGAGTGTAGGTAGTACAGCACGCCTTGACAGTAAAACATACTGGTTTCAATACCCAGTGACTTATCTATTTACATGCATCTCCAACAGTGTGAGAGCTGTTTGGCCCTCCAGTCTTTAGCTTGAGTAATGAGGTACTTAGGAGCTGCAATTGATTGCTAGCACCAGTCTGAACTGAGACTCAAATATGTCTTTAGACACATAGCAAGACATCTTCTACCCCCCATGTGTGAAGAATCTGCCTTTTTGCTGGAAATAACAGCTTAGCAGCAGTTACAGATAAAAACTATGGGATGGGTTTTTTTTTTAATTTATCCTTTCCTGTTTCAGCAGACCAAAGGCAAAAGTTCCACGAGTGATTCTGTTTCATCTCTCTTTCTAGGATTTGGGTACATCTCATTGCACAATACCAGGGAAGCCATTTCAAAGCTTTGGGAAGATTTACCTGTTTTGGATCAGGCAATATCATCTTTAATCAGCAACACACAAAATCAGTGAATGCATGTGGAAAATTGATTTCATTTTACACTGGTAATTAATGTTATCTGATATATGAAGAAACTAAGCACTTCAGCATATTATTTTTGTTGTACTCTTAGCAATAACTAATGCCAACATTAATACCATATGGAACTGCTGTACTGATTGATTTAATCTCTTTGAAGCTATTTCAAAAAAAACGAGATTCTTATCAGTCACCACACCTTTGCTGTTAATCAGATCTCCAATGCTAAAAGGTTGGTTTTTGTTTTTTTTTTGTATAAAATGCACTTGCTGTTTTTACATTGCTTGAAGTAAGAAAGAGTTCATTATGTATTTATATTCTGTTATAGCCAAGCCCGTATAAGGTTACATGCAGGCTTAAATTTCTTCGTATAAATTACTTCACATAATTTTCTTCATAGAAAGCAATCACATGGAAGCTGCGGAAGATTCCCACATGGTAAGAAGAAGGTAAGAACATAAGAAGGGTCCTGTACTTCAGCATTCTACATTTTAAAGGCCTGCTGTACCCCCAAGTCTTAGGAAGCCATTCCTACACTCCCTCAATTAGAGGTAATTTGTTTTTTATGAGAAGTGTTAATCAGCCCACCAAGACTAGTTCTTTAGACAACTTATTAAAGCCCATACAGCGATTTATGAGAAAAAGAGGTTCCTTATTCCACTGAGTACTGCAGTATTCACACTAAGTAGATCAGATATAACAAAATACTTATTTGACAGTAATTCAGTGATTAGAAAATTCAACCCCTCAGAGCCTGTGGATTAAGGGTTTGGTATGATTCAAAGCGTGCAAGGACTTGTGTGCTGACCTCCCATGCAATAGCAGAGGTCTGCCAGGTATTCTCCTTTCTACTCAGGTATAGAACTAAGATTTCACTTTGAAACTGAAAAAGCTTTTTTCCTATCTGTGTCCTAGTTTGGATAAACGAGGATTTTCTGACACACTAAGAATGAAAAGGTATGAGAAAATTCTTAACCCATTGCAGATTATGAATTACAGTTCTACAAGTAACTCAGTACTGTGAAAATTGTCCCTATTTACATTCGGTGCCAAAACAATAGGCAATATACCATTCATCCTACTTACATTTAAAAAAGATTTCTAAAGCCAGATTAGGATACTCATAAAAAGAAAAACCCATAAAACTTTAATATTCCCTGCAGATTTCCTAGGATGCTTAATTGAAAGTTCTGTCAATGCTTAGCATCAAGTATCTTTGGTACATCCATTCTTGGGCTTTACATGTAAAAATTTTACTGACAAGTTTTCAAAGGCCTTTGAGCTGGGTGCC